CTTAAGATTAATTTTGAAGGTCAAAAAAGCACCCATATTCTTTGGTGTTGGGGCTGTGCCGTACTCTTGCCAACCATGGACCACATTTGTCAGTATGGATAGCGACACTACTTCGAAGATCCGAATGCATTGAACCTTTGGTCTGATTCTTCGCTCACATCACAAGCTGGGGTTGGGGGAGTCTGGATCCTCTCCGGCCCTCCTCTCCAGCTCTCCCTCCCGTCAACGGATAAAATTCGTCCACATCACGCCAGGACAACATCAATGACTCAAATTAACTTTAAAAAAAAAAAGAAGTTAAATTTCATTCAACACAGTTAGGGGTGCAACTCGGGCGGGTTCGGTCGGGTTGGAGGTCTGTCAGAATAAAATAAAATAAATAAAATAATGATTTTTACTTAATAAAAAATACAAAAAATTGAACATTAATGTTAAAAAAAAAATGCCTGACATGTAAAAAATAAATAAAAATAAAAAATTTCTAATCCGCCTGACTATTTTTCTAATACCAAGTCTTGGAAGTCCATCCGAATCCCATCTGCAAAGCTTATCCTAAGCCCTTCAATTTAGTAATATTTTCCTTAACTCCATAAATAAACAGCCCATTAAATAAGACACACAATTATTCTAATCCTAATCCCTCTTTCATACCTAAAAACAAACGGAGCCTTAGATTAATTTTGAAGGTCAAAAAAGCACCCATATTCTTTGGTGTTGGGGCTGTGCCGTACTCTTGCCAACCATGGACCACATTTGTCAGTATGGATAGCGACACTACTTCCAAGATCCGAATGCATTGAACCTTTGGTCTGATTCTTCGCTCACATCACAAGGTGGGGTTGGGGGAGTCTGGATCCTCTCCGGCCCTCCTCTCCAGCTCTCCCTCCAGTCAACGGATAAAATTCGTCCACGTCACCCCATAACAACATCAATGACTCAAATTAACTTTAAAAAAAAAAAAGAAGTTAAATTTCATTCAACACAGTACATCTGATACACTGCCACATCAAGTCCACCACACTCTATCTCTCTCTCTCTCCTGATAAAAAATTAAAAAACTATTTTAATCATTTTAATTTTATTTTCATAATATATACTCCATTCGTCTCAAAATAATTGTCTCTTTTGGGGAATCTAATTTTTTTTGATAGTGCAATTATTCTATTTAAAAAAAGTTGATTTTCTAAAATTACCTTTTTGATAGTACATTTTTTGGGAATATCAATGTCGTAATTGTACTTTTTATATTGTTTATTAATTTAAAAGAAGAGCAAAATAAGAAATTTACATTATTTTTGTACTTGATTTTTAAAGAGGGACTAATATTTTGGGACAATGAAAAATGGAATAAGGGACTAATATTTTGAGACGGAAGGAGTATAATTTTTAATATAAAATTTTAATTTTATAGAATTAATATCATTGAAAACATACCTTTAAAATGAGACTAATATTAAATAATTTAATAAAAATTTAAAATAAATAAAAAGTAATTACTATGTTTAGTTATGCTTTCAAGTTATTATTTTTAAAATATAAAAATTATTTTGATGAAAATAAACACACAAAAATCATATATTTTTGAAATTCTAAAAAATAATCTTCATTCCAAAAAAAAAAAAAAATGAAAATAATGACTTCTGTGCATAAATGTAAATTTTTTATTTCCTTTAAAACATATATTCAATCTATGCATAGGTGTAAATCAAATATATTTTTTTTAATTTCCTTTAAAAAAAATTATAAACTCGTTTGGTTAATAAAATTAAATTAAAAGTCATTATTTTCATATATTTTTTTTTGGAATGAAATTTTTTTTTGAAAATTTTAAAAATATATGATTTTTGTGTATTTATTTCATGAAATTAATTTTTATATTTAAAAAATAATTTAAAAACACAACTAAACATCGTAATTATGAGTGTGTGTGTGCAGTGAGGTGTGAGGGAGAGAGAGGAGTGTCAGATAAAAGGAAATCATTTAGTGTGGGTGTGTTTTGAAATTTTTTGTTTAAAGAAATAAATCTGAATCATTTATTTTCTTGTGGGGTGACGTGGCTCTATCTGGATCGTTTCCCGAAGGAACAGCCGGAGAGAGCAGCTGGAGAGGATCCAAACTCGGTTGGGGACTCAATGCCCTCTCACCCTCAAACCTCTTTTCAATGCTCTCTTACCTTTCCTGTACAAAAATAGAAGGCCAAATTACATTGATATTTCTTGAAATTTTTAAAAATAATAATAATAAATTTTATAATTTTAACATATTTATATTAAATATTTTTAAAATTTTAATTTATATAATACTTTTCCCTCTTTTCATCATAAAAACGTTAGTGGTATAAAATCACAAAGAAAAATGTTTGAGGGCTCGAAAGGCGTGGCTCGAAATTGGCTCGAAACTCAAAACGACGTCGTTTTGAGTTTTGTTTTTTTTTTTTCTTCTTCTTATTCTTCTTCCTTTTCTTGATCCACGCCTCATTCCTCTCGCCTGTCTGGATCTGGACTCATCCCTCTCGCCTCTTGCTATCTCTTTAGTGGAGACTGAGTGCATCTGGACTCATCCCTCTCGTCTGTTGAAGCAGTACGAAGGACGACTGAGGTAAGCCCCCAAATTGAGCCATGTTAGGGTTTAGTCGTAGAAATTAGTCGATTTTTTTATAGAAATTAGCCATGTTAGGGTTTAGTAGAAATTAGGGTTTATAATAATGTTTGGAGGACTGAGGACGACTAATATTTTGTAGAAATTAGTCGAGGATGTTAGGTGTTTTGCATTTCATCTCTGTATTGAAATCATAATATGTTGGTTTGTATTGAAATTTTTTGTATAATAATGGTTGGCTTTCTCATCTCTGTATTGAAAACATAATATGTTGGTTGCATTTTGAACCCACTTAAAATGAAATTTATTGTTGTCTGAAATTTATTGTTGGTTGGCTTTGTGCTACTCTGTTGTTTGAAATTCAATGGCCTTCAATGGGATGAAGGTCTGGGAGGAAGAAAAAAAAGCAGTATTGTAAAACACCTAACATCCTGTTCTACTCTGTTCAGGTTGGCTTTGTATAATACAGGTTGGCTTTGTGCTACTCTGTTCTCTGTTATCCTCAGCTGTTCAGATTGATAATAATGGCTCTGTTAGTAAAAAAAGCAGTCATGTTTTGTTGAACAAGTAGGAATTGTTAGGGAAAATCGATGATTCCCCACAAGTAAATCAATCAATGGGAATAAAAACTAATGCGGAATTAAAAGAAGAGCAAAATAAGAAATTAATATTATTTTAGTTCTTGATTTTTGAAAATAGACTAATATTTTGAAACAATGAAAAATGGAATAAATGACTAATATTTTAGGACAGAATGAGTACTAAAAATTAATTATCTTAACTATACTCTAATACTTCTTTTTTTAGATATTGGATGTCGTGGCAAATAGGGTTAAAAATGAGTAGGGTAATAAGTTGTTCAAATTTGATTTGATAATTTAACAAGTTTAAAATTGTGTTTAAGCTTACCTAGTTTATATTACAAGTTTATCTCAAATGAATTTTTAATGATCCAAACACGAGTTGAGCTCGAGTAGTATTTTTTGTATAGTATATTTTAAGTCAAATAGTAGGTTGTTGAAGCTTAATTTAAAAACTTAACTAGTTTAAAAAAGGGATAAATTACAAACATACCCCCTGAGGTTTACTTAAATTACAAATTACCTATTATAGTTCTAAAAATTACATTATGCCCCCCAAAGTTTCTAATTTCATTACAAATAAGTTCTTTTATTAATAAATCATCAAGTTAATTAATAGTTTTTAATAATGTTAAAATTTTATTTTAATTAATAATTCAAATAATTTTATTACTATATAGGTGAATAGTTAGAAATTTCACTTTTTTAATTAATTCTGTTAAATAAAAAATTCTGACAGAGAAGTATTTGTAATTTTTCAAATCACAGGGGACAATTCGTATTTTAAGCAAATCTCTAGGGGTGTATTTGTAATTTACCCTTAAAAAAGTGTTTAAACTTAACTTATTTACCTAATGAGTTGATCTTAAACGAATTTTTAATAAGTCAAATACAAGGTGAGTTCAAATAACTTAATTTATTTAACAAAATTTTATTTTTATTTTTATTTTTATATGGTGATTCGTTTAACAATTTTAGTGGTAAATAAATAACTTTTTTTTATGACATTTTGCAATCTCA